TGGTACCGATCTATAGTAAATTTAATATATGGGTTGTGACCTACTTATATGTTTTTATAGTAAATTTAAGTATTGAAATAATATCAAAGTAATATTATTAGGAGCCCTACTTACTATTAAGGATAAAGTTTATACAATTTGTCTCTTATAGATATTGAATTAAAAATATATATTTGATAACTTGGAAACATTACTTATTATGCTATTGACTTATAGGTCTTTAATTAAATACTTATTATTTTTATCAAAACAAGATATTATATAAATTATATTATAAATTACTTCTATATTTACTATTGTAATATTTTATATTAAAAAATCATAAACAGGATATTGTTTATAATTAATGAAGAAAAACTTTATTAAATATAAAAAAAATTAAATAACTTTGTTATTTTCTAAAAAAAAAAAATCTTTCTTATATAAAAAAACTCTTTCCTGATCACATCTGTTTTGTTAAAAATTTTTCTTTTATGATAATTTTAAGTAAAAAAAATGTTTTACTCTCTTTATCGCAAGTAAGCTCCAGTTTAGAAACTCAAGAATCTTTAAAACAACTGGTGCAATGGGATGGAACCAGTATTATATTTATGGAAGTATTGGGACAGAAAACTTAACCTCAATTTATATATCATTTTACTTTTTTCATCACTCTGGAAGTTTTTCTTTTATATTGATTTTTATATTATTTTGTTTAATTTTTTTCATCATATTCAAATGTGTTATAATTTATTTTTTTTGGTCACATTTTCATATTACTATTCTGCTTGATATAAAAAAAGAAATATAAAGCTAAAGAACAATGTCCTGAAGCAGAGTGTGATAACCATCAGCAAGATTAAATTTAATATTAATATTTTTATTATTCTAATTCTTTTTTAAACCTTATTTGATTGCTATTTAACTTACTGTTACTATGAAGCATTCACCCTTTAGGATGAATATGAAACAGTTGCGAAGCACAGCAGAGTATAATTAACATATTAACTTTTAAAATTGTTATCAATATAAAATAGCTATATAAAAAAGACATCAAAATTTTTATTGATATAAATAAGTCTAATCTCAAATAAAAGATTTTTAGTTATTTTGTGATTATTTTAGAATATCCAATTTTTACTATTCCTCTTAACACCTAAATCAATTATTCTTATTATAAAGAATATCAAAAAAATATCAAAAAGTTGAAACAATTTATATTGTAAAAAAGTTGAGACAAAGTCTAATCTCATAGTTAAAATATAATTTTGAAGTTCTATTATATAATCTACTATAATACTGGACTATATAATATTTTTTAGAATATAATGAAATAATTATTTAAACAGAAAGTTTTATATAAGCAATATATTATAAAACAATTATAAACTATAACTAGAAAAGATAAAAAAAATTGTACTTGTAAATGTTGTGAAGATTTTTTTTCAACACCACAAAAACTTTATTAATATTATGCTAGTAATAAAATTTTATATCACTTACTAATTCTATCTTCTAATCAACTATTTCAACCTGATCCAGAAATAGAATATCTTGAAGCATTGGGATTAATCAATTTTCCAGAAATTGGTGAAAACAGTCATTCAGAGGTTAATTCATTACCAGAAGCCAAAAGAACATATCTTGAAACATTGGAAATATTAGCACATATCCCTAAATTTCATTAAACCAATACAATTAGTTAAGGATGTAAATTATTAGACAATTATTATCAAGTTGAAATAGGAAAAGAAACAATATATGCAAAAAATCCTATCAATACTCTTAGTATACTTAGAGAACAAATAATAAATATCTTCAATAATCGATTTGAGCTTACTCATGGGTTCAAAATTCAATTATGTTTTATAGGAAAAATAGATCAAATAACAAATTATTAAAAGGAACTGTTTGAAGATAGAAATTTTGCAAATGAAACTAATAATGATAAAAAAAACTATAAAAAAGTTCTGTTTAAAAATAAAACAGTAGTAGTAATAGCTAAAAAAGATATTTCAAGAATTGTAGATGAACTTATTTGAAATATTGAAAATTGAATAGAAGTATATATCTATGAAGGCTCAGGTTGGTATTTTGAAGTATCTGAAAAAGTAAATATTGAAATGTCAATTTTCATTTCTTTAACTACTAGTTCTCATATTTCATTACCTAAAGGAATACCGAAACGAAATAATGGAATTATAAATATCCAAAATTAGGATAATCGATGCTTTGAATATTGTAATCTTGCAGAACTATTTCCAGCATCATATCATTGAGAATGAGTTTCTTGGTATACTCCTCACTTAGGTAAGTTAGATTTCAATGGGATTTAATTTCTAGTAAGAGTTAACAATAATACAATGGAAAAGTTTGAAAAACAGAATCCAAATATATTTGTATCAATTTATGGATGGAGTAAAAAAGAACTTATACCATAGATGCAATCATAAAAAGAAGAATTGCCAACTATATAAGTTGATTCGTCTTTTATTAATAAGTGATAATAATCCAAAAACAGAAGAACCAGCTCAATATTATTGTCTAATTCAGGAAAGAAATGGTCTAAGAAAATTAGTCGGATATACAACAAAGCATAAAGCTAAGCTCTATATATATGATTATTGTATAAGCCACTGAACCCATAACCTCAAGATAGACATTTAATATATGAAAGATTGTAAAAGAATCAATACACCAGTACAAAAAACAGTAATACCAGAAAAAGGCAAAAATATCTATAAATTTAAAAGATATGAGCAAATGTTAGATACTCCTTTTACATGTACAGCAGATGCAGAAACTCTTGTCACACTTATTGAAAAAAGTCAAGGATTGAAAACAACAGCAATTTAAGAACACAGTTATATCATTTGATTATATAATTAGATGTAGAAATGGCAAGACCAAAGTATTACTAAAAATTAAAAAAGATGATCCAGCTGGAGAGTTTATCAAAACAATGGAAAAAAAAATAAAGCAATGTTAGGATTTTCTTGTGAGAGGACACATAATTCGAAATTTTGCAAAAAAATTAATTTTAATGATGCAATTAGAAATATTGTCAAAAGAGATAGTAGAAAATTATATTAATTATGTTAGCATATTTCAAACATGGAAATTAATCAATATTCCTCTTGGTTCTACTAAAGAATATAAAAAGTTAATATATCTTAAACATTACTTAAAAGATTTTTACCAAGCTTATAAAAGAGATCCCCTTGGAGTAGATATAGGAATAATATATTGACTTGTAAATACAATTTATTATAGACTCTGATAGCCAGAAGAACCAATGAAAAAATTAACTATTCAAGAAGAAAAAACATATAATTTAATTAAAAAATGTTATATATGTGAAAACCCATTTGGAAAAAAAGATAATCTTAAAAAAATTTGAGATCATAACCATATTACAGATAAGTATAGAGGTCTGGCCCATAGTATTTGTAACTTTCAACTACAAATTAAACCAGAACAGTTTAAATTACCAATTCATTTTTATAATTTATGTAAGTTTAATACTTATCTTATTTCCCAAGCTATGGAACAAGTAAATAAAGAAAAGATAAATGCTATCCCATATAATATGGAAAATTATCTTAATCTTGATATTGGGAATCAAAGATATATGAATTCTCTCCAACTCATGCCAGGAAGTCTTGACTCTCATGTATTTAACTTAAAAGCTGAATCATGTAAAGAAGAAGTAGATGAGAATGGAAAACCTCTAAACTTATTATATAAAAAGCCCAGTTATCTTTATCAAATCAACTCTAATAAATACTTTGCCCATTTAGAAAGATTCCTCATAACTAGAAAATATGAACCAAAAGAAAGGGATGACTTAGTATTTCATAAAGGAATTTTCTCCTATGATTGGTTTAATGCACCAGAAAAAATAGATACAACTTTCTTATCTTCTATCAAGGCTTTCGACAGTATTCTTAACAAATCTAAATGTATAGAAAAAGCATATAAAAAAGTGCAAGAAGTATAGAAAGTATTTAATATGAAATTATTTCATGAATATCATGACTTATATCTGAAACTTGATATATTATTATTAACAAATTGTTTGAAAGGATTTTGTAAATTAATGAAAAGTAAATTTGATCTTGATATATCTTATTATATATCTCTCCCTTCATTTGTAAAAGACACTCTATATAAAACTATAGAACAAGAAATCAAATTATTCACTAATTATAACATGTATCTCTTTTGTGATAAAGATATTTGAGGAGGTATTACAATAGTAAATAATCATCAAGTTAAAGTTAATAATCCTTAATGTTCTGATTTTAATTCAGATTCAGAAGAAGCAATAAAAAAGCTCTTTACTTGACTATTATATATTGATGCCAATGCACTAGAGCTCCTAACAATACCACTTCGATACTTAAATTTACTATAAAAACATATGAGTAGGTCACAACTCATTTATTAAATTTATTATAGATCAGTACCATTTTGATATTAGTTCGATACTAGTTTGGTACTTTTTGGAGCCCTACAAAGCACTATATATTGAAGCAATAATGCAAGTTATGCCAACAGGAAGATATAGATAGATAACATCAGAAGAAACTTCAGATCTTTTTAATAAAATTACCAAGTGTGAGATTCATAATGATGCATCCAAAGGTTATATTCTGGAAGTTAATCTTGACTATCCATATAAATTATATAAATCACATTCTGCATATCCTTTAGCTTTTGAAAATATCGAGATTTTTAAAAAGAAAATGAGTAAGTATAGACAAGAGATTATTAATGATTTAAAACATTATTTAAAGACTAAGAAATTTGTCTCCAATCTCAATAATAAGAAGAAGTATATAATACATTATCACATATTACAATTTTATATAAAGTAGAAAATAGTGCTTATTAAAATTTATTGAGTTATAGAATTTGATCAAAATCCATAAATAAAATCTTTTATAAAAGAATTAACAAGATCTCGAGTTACAAATAATTTTGAGAAAAATATGTTGTCATATATCGTTTCTACCTCAGGAGAAAGATAAAGACGGAGAACTAGTAGCAGGGAGACACTTTAAATGGACAGGGCCAATGTGATATGCTAAAGTTCCTAGAGGCGTACAAATTAGTACAGTTCTGAGATGTATGAGGTCAGGCGAAAGAGGCAATAGTGATTTGCTTGGTAAAGGTCAAATTATTTATTCGATAAAATATATGTTCAAGCCTGCCAATTCCTAGGCAAAATTGGAGCCTTTATAT